AGGAGGAGAGGCCCGAAAGCCTTGAGAGATGTGAGGGGACCACGTGGACATCCAGGCGAGAGGGTTCCAGGCAGAGGCCCCGGCAAGGGCAGAGGCTCTGAGGCAGGACCGCACCTGGTGTGCTCGTGGCCGTGCAAGGAGGCCTGCGCGGCCGGAGCGGTGTGTGCCGTGGGGGAAGAGGGAGGCGGAGGTCACTCGGGGAGCAGGGCCACACCACGGAGGACCTATGAGCCACGGTGGGCCTTTTCCCCAAGCGGCATGGGGTGCCCTGGCCTGGTTTCCCCATTTTCCAGAAGTTAAATGGCTGGCAAAGCCCCACAGTGGTGGAGCTGGACCTGGTCTGAGGGTCAGCATGGTGCTTCTCGCACCTGCCATCACAGGTCCTCTCTGCAGGCCAGTGCCCCCGCCTGCCGGATGGCAGCAGGCAGGCCCTGTGGTCTCTGTCCAGGCAGGCTGCGGCTGTGACTGGTTCTGGATGCACAGACACACGAGGCGTTCCTGGGGCTCAGCCCGGTGAGGTCAGGCCCCTGGGGGCCGGCTGGGTGCGTGCACTTCAAACAGCCTAACTCCATGGCCATCAGCCAGGGTGGCCCCAGTCCCCTCCCAACCAAGCCCAGCAATTAGCGTCCTCGAGCTTCACCCTGGGCTTCACCTGGGCTGCCCCAGCATTGGTTCTGAAGCCCAGCCTTGATGTGAGTGGGCTGCTCCCCATTTTATAGTGGGGTAAACTGAATCACCCCCATCACAAAGTGGAGTTGGAAGCACCACGTCCGTGCGGGCCGCAGCCGGGTCCTGGGCCCTGGGCTGAGAGGTGAGGCCTGGCTTCTAACTGTGATCTCTGCCTGACTCGCCATGACGATGGGCAAGTGACAGCTGCTCTCAATTGTCTCATCTGTAAACTGGGGAGCCGGGGAAGATATCTCTAAAGACCCTCCCATTTCACTGAGCTCTTTCTGTCATTCCAGAAGTCCCACCCAAGCCACCCACTTCAAGCATGCTCCAAGTGTGAGGTATAAACTGTGCCACAGAGACATCAGCACGTGACACTGGGGCTCAAGGCACCCTGTGCCCACAGCTCGGCCTCATCCCCCACACTGCACCCCACCTAGGCCTCTTCCCAGGCCTCCCCTCCACTCATCTGTCCCCTCCAGTCTATCTGGGAGGTTCCAGAGAGCATTAACAGACAAACCTGGCCACGTCACACCCCTACTTAACAGGCCCCAGTGCCACATGGGCACTTCGGCCTCTTACAATCAGAGCTCTCCTGTCTCTTTGCTCACTGCATCCCCCTAAGCCAGGGGTTGAAAACTGACAACCCGAGAGCCAAATGTGGCACACAGGCCTGCTTTGTGTGAACTCTGGAACACGTTCTGTGGTTTGCCTCAGTCCCCACCACTCCCTATTACCTCACTTCCAGCTTATCCTCACATCGTTTCCCATCTGGACCCTAGAAGAGTCTGCTTAGTGACCCCTAGAGTCCAGGCCTCCTGACCGACCACCCCCAGACATGTCCTACAATGCCCACTTGTCTCCTTGCATTTGTTCCCTCCCCACCAGGATCCCGTTCTCCATGAGACGCTGCCCCAGCAAGCTGCAACCCTGCCTCTTCCTTCCCACTGGTCCATCTACCTCCCGCTGCAGTGGGAGCCCCCCGTGGGTCAGGCCAGGTCTTACTGATTTCCGCATCCCCAGCTTCCAGGGAGGTGGCTGGCGGAAGGGGGGCTCAGGAAATGTGGGAGAGGGAGGAAGGAACTCAGCCCCAAGGGCAGCCCAAGCCCAGGTCCCTCTGGATTTTAAAGGGATCTCCAGAGGAAGAAAACCTCTCACAACACTCTGAGAGCATCTAATGAACATGGCAGT